GGGGATTTATCATGCTGTTTTGTTTACTTTTATTCATATTAAAACTTTTCATTCATGACAAATTAAAAAATTTCATTTCCCATTAAAAGAAGTGTGTAGCCCTTTCTAATCGCTCAGTAATTAAAAGTCAATGTTCCTTTCCCTTGTATTGATACACATAAATATGACCACTCCAGACATAGTTTTTCTTTTGTGATTTTTAATTAACTAGAACAACTTAAAAAGGGCAATATCGTACAGTAGATTAAAAATGAACTCTTCGAGAATTAGTTTCAGTAAGAAAATTTGTCCTCTCAAACTGTGGTTTTTATTAGGTTTAGATTTCATAAAGCAGCACAAAATATTGTTCAGTGTTTTTTTCTTTTTTTGCAGTTTTTTCATTAACTTTTTTCACCACTGCCAAAAATAATTTAATAAGATAGGCCTTTAGAGGACCCTGCTTTTAAAAACATACGTGTGTATTTCTCTTCTTTTTTATCTGGCCATTCGCCATGTCTATTGTTTGAGTGGTAGAAAAGGGGGATTGAATATAGGGAAAAGACGGAAGAGTGGACGAATAGGAGACGTGCCTTCCATTCAGATTTTTTTTTCTGCCCCTTCATTAATTCCAAAAACTTTGATTAACTCTCCTGTCTGCAAAGGACTGTGCTAGGCCTCGTGGGGGAGATGAACAAGTCAGGCAGGGTCCTTGCCCCATCTAGCGGGAGAGGCTTCAGCCGCCGGTTCTCCAGTGCATGATGTAGTTAGTGCTATGACTGGGCAGAGTGCTACAAGAGGGGAAGGTTTCGTCTGGGTTAGGGATGGGGAAGGGACGGGGGAGGGGCATCCCTGAGTCTGACAGGAGAGTAGGAATTGACTTTAGGAGCAGTCAGAGGAGCAATGCTGGTGGCAAAGGAGGGTTCCTGCTCGAACGGGAAGGACTCAGCCTACGTGCCCACAGCAGTTAGCGTTTTGGCCCTTATGTTAAGATCAGTGGAAAGACATTGAAAACAATAATTTATGGTGAAACATTTCATGCATATGAAATATATACATCAAATATATAACAAACACTTGTATATTTATCATCTAGCTGAAGAAATAAAACCTTATGATACCATGGAGCCACTGGTTAATAATTCTGTCCTTCTATCTCCTTTTTTCTGATCCTATTTTTTCCTTCTTCCCTTCTTCCCGGGAGCATCCACTAGCCTGAATTTTCTATTTATATGTTTTTTGTTTTTCCTTTCAGTTTACTACACATGTATGTATCCCTAAGTCGTGCATAGTTTTACAGGATTTTGATTTTTAGGTAGTAAGCAACAGCATGGCTGAATCTCCATGTTGAGTGAAGATTCTAAATTGCGGGAACCATATAGTATGAAATGACTGAAGCACTTTCTGCCATGGGGGGTGGGAGGCGACATTATTTTGTGTCTTATAAAGGTTATTTTTTATGCAGTGTAGATTATGGATTGAAGGTGAGCAAGAGTGGATGGGGAGAGCAGTTAGAAGGTACTATAATCCAGGTGGTAGTTTGTGGTTGATGGTTGTAACCTCTTAAAAGAAATTATATAAAACCTTGTAACCATGGCCCTTTGGGATCTTCTCCCTCCCATTTGACCTTGCTGTTCCTCAAACACAACTCACTTGTTTCCTGCTTCAAGGTCTTTTCTTCTACAGAAAGCCTTTCTTCTCAAATCTGTAGAGGTTTCTTTTACTGCACAGAGTTACGTGCTCAGAGAGGTCTTCCCTGACCACTGTTGAGAAGTGACCTGCTATCCTTGTCATTGTTTTCTAGTTCCCTTACTTTGCTTTATTTTGCTTTGTAATTTTGAAAAATCACAACATGAAATTATATTTTTACTTACTTACAAACTGTTTTCCCTACTAAAATATAAGCCTTGTATATAGTAGGTACTTGATAAATATTTGTTGACTAGATTAGTAAACTGACTTAAGGCTGGGATAATGGAATCCAGTCATTCCTTTTTGGTTGTCTCCCGAACATCCTTACAGCTATAAACTTTACAGAGCTTGACGTAAATGCAAACCCCCCATTCTTACTCTACATTTCCACTTGACTATCTTGCTGTCACCTCCAACTGAGTGTCTAAAATTATACCTTAACTTCCTTCCTCCAGTCTTCCAGTTTTGTTAATGCCACCATTATTGACAGCCCCCAGGCACAAAACCTTCGTGTTACTTTGCAACATTCACTAGTCCTAGTCTCTGGGTGCTTTCTGTGCCCATGTATGTCTCTGGGGTGGGGGAGGATTTCTGGTCAGCGTCTACACCTCTGCTTCCTGCTCTTGGCCCCGTGGCCCGCCCTCAAGGCCCTGCATGAGTCCTTCTCCTCGGGGCACCCAGCCGAAGCTTCCTTCCTAGCACTTCCTTCCTTTTGTACTTACGTCTGTAGGTTTTGTTTGTTTTTATTAACACAATATTCTGACTTGCACTGTTAGTTACATGTCCTAATATTTTAAATGTAAAGCAAATAAAGTATTTATTGATTGAGCCACCTTTACTTCCTCCTCTATTATTCCATTTTTAACCTCATTGTGTGTGTCCTGTCCTTAGTTTTGTCCTGGAGCCCTAATGCTTGCCATGTTGTGGGTCAGATAAGACAGCTGGCAGGACACTGCCATCAGCACAGATGTCTTACCTCCTATCTTTTGTTCTCATTAGGGCTGGGTTCTCTCTGAGCCTGTGCAGGCTCTCGCCGTCTTAAAGGAAGGGAAGGCATAAAGTTTCAAGTCCTGCATGGTACTGCAAGTGTGCAGAGGCAGGGGAGCATGAGCTCATGTTGTTAGTTTTTAGCTGTATTCAGATATCTTTTAAAATGAAAACGGTAGCTCTTTATAATTTCTTAACAGGCTTACAGGTTGTGAGGATAAATTTGGCTGGTTTAATTATTTGAATTCACATTTATTTTGAATTCACATCTATTGCAATGAGCATAGATGTACGAGATGTATGGCAGATGTTTAATACGAATTTTAGTAAAATATGGTAAACGCCGAATCAGAAGTAGGTGCAAGATGCTGTTGCAATGCACAGAAGGAAGCATCTAAGTCATGGAGGGGCTTGTCAGGGGATGCTTCTTTCAGGAAGGACATCATGAGACCAAGATGACATTTGAGCAGGAGTTCACTGGGCGGACAGGGGCTTTAAGTTCTTGGATACGTATAATTCATGGACACAAAATGAAATAAGCCTGGGCCCCAATGTAACTCCAATGAAACATGATACCAACAAGGGCAGTACTTTATTTCCTTAATATTACCACTCAGGGTCACCAAGAAATTCCATTTCAACAGCACCCTCAAGCAGTGGGCTGTAGAGACAGCCTAGCAAAGTGATGAAGGGTGGACCTGCAGTTAGGCTGCCCAGACTCAGATCTCAGCTCTGCAGTTTCCAAGCTTTGGGAATTTGAATCTCTGTGGGCCTTGGCATAGTATCTACTTCATAGAAGTGTAAATTAAGTGAAATAAATATACGAAGTGCTTATGACAACATCCTGCGTGCGTGCAGTAGGTGCTCCATAAAGATTTGCTTTTGTGGTTATTTTTAACTGTTCACAGCAGCCCAGAGCAAGGGATTGGCAGACGACTCTGTCTGCTTGGGCCAAGGCCAAACCCAACCCACTGTCTGATTTGTAATAAAGTTTTATGGGAACACAGCCATGCCTGTTCGTTAAGTGTCACCTGCGGCTACTTTTGTACTCTACAAGGCTGAGTTTAGTTGTGACAGAGATCAAATAGTCCAGAAAGCCTAAAATATTTATTTGGTCCTGACATTTGCTGAGCTCTGGCCTAGAGGATAAAAATCAAACTCTTTAGCTCTCAAAATCTTCAGTGATTGCTTCCAAACACATCTTTTCCACCTATACCTAACAGATGGCTGTAGCAGTTTTTGGTTTCTGCTTCCGCTTCTGTATACTGTATGGGCTCTCTTACTGGATTGTACTTTCTTTAGTGCTCCAGCTGCTTTTTGCTCTTTCACATGGATCTGGGCAGCAGCCGGGCTAGGACTAGAATGAGCTGGCTTACCTTGAATACTGAATTTAAGGGAGGTCTCTAAAAACTTAGTGGCCAAAATAGATAGTCTTAATGCAGTGATTTAAAAAACAAAATTAATGTAAAAATCTATGATTAACAAAATATCAGTTTTAAATAAAGGCAGTAGTACTGATTTTTTGTTTTTACTTAGGCTCTAACATGGCTCAGCTTCACAGTAGGCAGCTGGGAACAGGTAACCTGTACTGAAACCACTACAAACCCCAGTCAGTCATACTTCTTACATCACTGTGGTAGTTCGAGTTTTTAGATTCAGAGTAATCTGCTGATCACATTTAATGACATATATCCATGTCAGGACTACTTTCATAAAGTATAATTATGCACATAGTTTGTTGATCTTAGCTCATAGTAGTTAATCTGTATATAATCTGTTGTAGAAAATGACAAAATGAACAATATTTCCATTAGTATCCAAATAGTTTGTTTGAAATGGTTTATCGAGAGCAGTGAAGCCTAGGTTAGAATTGCACCATTGGAGAACTAAGGCTATTTACCAAGAGATCTGAAAGGATCACCTGGTTCCTATAAGCTTTTTCAAAGAAAAGCCAGAGAGTGATATTGGTTGAATTTTAATGCTTTCTGATAAACACTGACCCAGGAAGCTTTTTTAGATGATTTTCTAATCTGATTTGACATTTCTTCAGGGTGCTGCAAACCGTGATTTGCTGGTAGGTTTAAAAATCTGTAATTTTTTTTTAGTGAAGAACATTTGGAAATGTTCTGTAGAATTCTATTAGAGTCTGTAAGGAATAAGTCCAGAGGAGTGGACAGGTGACTTTCCATTTCTTGGACACCATGTTGAGATTTATAGGACTTCCCTTGATGTTTCAACAAAGTATATTAGTTGTTACAACTGACTATCACTGTTATAAAGAGATAAATTATAACACTGAACTTGATGCTCTTTTGCTTTCTAAATGGCACTTTACATGTCTTTAGGTATACAGTGTTGATTGGAGCCAAACTAGAGGTGAACAGCTTGTGGTGTCTGGTTCATGGGATCAAACCATCAAACTGGTATGTTGGCATTACTGTATTTAAAAATAAATATTCCCTTCCCAAAGCTTCCACTGATTTTTTTTCTCTTCCAGAAAACGCTTCTGTAGCTTTTAAATTAGGTAGCTAATTATATATTTTTTTAAATATTAAAGCATTTATTAGAATTTAAAATTTTCTAATCTTTTGTCTGTACATTAATAATTTGTTCAGCATTGATTATTTTGGCCCCTTAAATGACATTTGCTTTGTGAAAAAATAGAATTTTAAAAAACAGTCCTTGAGACATGTGTCTATAGTATGTGTATATACATATATAAAATTACATATATATTTTATGTATTATATATCTAAAAGCATACATTTGAATGTACCATTTTTATGTAATTGATCTATTTAATTTATTTGTAGTGGGATCCAACTGTTGGGAAGTCTTTGTGCACCTTTAGAGGCCATGAAAATGTCATTTATAGCACAATCTGGTCTCCCCACATTCCTGGTTGCTTTGCTTCAGCCTCAGGTAAATAATTTGACCTTTACTAGTCTTACTTGTAGTCAATGGTGGTCTTGCTTTCCCCAGTAGGTGGCGCTGTGCACCTTAGAGTCTGAGGGCGGAGGACCCTGATTCTTTGTGCTCTTGAGACTGTTTCATTGTCTACCAACCTCTAGACTTGAATTGGGCAGGCCTGGATTACTTTTTAATGATTCTAACCATTTGACTAAGATGTTCCTTTCTGGTGAAATAGGAGGTGTGGGACAGAGAGCAAGTGAGGTCTTTGGCATCAGCCTTTGCTTTCATTCATGTTCACCCTTCTTACAGGATGTTCTCTTTAGGATGTAATTCATTGCCACTAAACTATAGCAAGGATGCTTTTTAGTATGATCTTTTTTTCTGACTGTTTGCTTTTGATTTATGTCAGCAATTCTAAAAGCCCCAAATACTTACTGTTGGGCCCTTTATGGAAAAATGTTCGCTGGTATAGAGCCGTGTGTAGGGTGGGGATAAAACAATAGAAACTCTTTTGGTTGTTTAGTGGGGGACAGAAGACAATAACGACAGAAGGAGGTAGAGTGCTTCTTCTAGTGTTGTCTCCTTGTTTAATTATCCAACACCCAAGGATAAACAATCAATAAGTTAATTGTTCCTTTCTTGCTAATAAACTATATCAATGCCCTGAGTTGTTGAATTATGTCAAGTTGCTTTCATAAGAAATATGTCACAGAAATCCTTTCAACTTGTTTTTTTATTGAGACATAGTTGACATATAACATTATACAGAGTGTATAATGGCACTCTGTTATACACTCTGGGCAAAAGTAGACTTACAGTTGTGAATATGCAAAATGGTTTATTCTTCTATTACTTATTATTGTATTATTTTCCATTTAAATAGCTATAAGCCTACTTTTGCCCTGCCCTGTGTTAATTTCATTTGTACAACATAATTATTCAATATTTGGATATACATACTGTGAAAGGATCACCACACTAAGTCTAGTTAACATCCATCACCACACATAGTTATGAATTGTTTTTCTCATGAGAACTCTTAAGACCTATTCTCAACAGTTTTCAAATAAACAATACAGGATTACTAACTATAGTTACCATGTTGTATGTTATATTCACACAACTTGTTTTATAACTGAAATTTGCCCTTTTTGATCTCCTTTACCCATGAAAGCCTACCCTCCCCGCAACCTCCAACAACCACCAATCTGTTCTTTGTATGTACATGGCTTTTAATTCTACATATAAGTGAGATCATAAGGTACTTGTCTTTTGTTTATTAGTTTTAATTCTAAAAACTAAAAATATCCATGTCCCTGAATTCTCTTAAGTATTATTTGGCTGAAGACAATCAGAAGTGAAAACCTTCAGGTAAATTGTGTACAGACAAGTATGTCCATTTAGATTGTGCAACTTTTTGAACCCAAGACAACAGTGAAGTGAATTAGTTTCATCTGTGTATAGAGGTGCAGTTAATTTAAAAAAATGCTTTGTTTGCTGATTAAAATTAACAGCATTGTTTTCCAGAATAAAGAGTGGTACACTCTGTAAACTTGTACAATTATTGGTTATTTTTTAAAACTTATAAATTGTCATAATTTTTTAAAATCCATAATCTGAAATGAATCTTTTTCAAAATATGAAGGCTTTGGGGACAAATAATATATTTTTCTTCTCACATTTCCTTTACTAAGCCTAAATGTCTTTTTTCAATCTTTTATCTTTCTGTTGTGCATCTTACCGTAGGACAGGTGTTTATTAAGTCATGGATAGCAATATTGATGCATCTAATTTAAATTAACTCTTTAGCCTGCATATATAACTTGACTTAATAATCTTTTATGCTTTTAATTTAGTGTAAATGCTAATGAGTTTTATGTTTATAGTGAATCACATCTATAAGATGACCACAGTTCAGTGTAATGGTTATAATTTTTATAATTTCACTATTAGTGAGAAGCCCTAACACAGGAAGTAGTAGTACAATTACATTGAAATTCTCATGAAAATGTGAATCAGATTGACATTAGCATCATTTTCTTCGAGTAGGTGTGCCCTTTAGCCTTGTATCTCCACTTTCAAAGGAGACATTTCAAATTCTTGGATGGAATTAGTGGTAGAGAATAGGTGCACCACCAGTGAACTGAAACATGTGTCCCTAGTGAACCAGTGAAGACATGTCTGCTGGGAGCTCTGATTGTCATCATTCACAATAAACTAGAATTAATAATGAGTATAATTTTACATATTTAGGAAAATATTAGTAAGTCAACCACCTTGAACTACATACTTAAAAAATTATTTACCTTATTGTTGTATATAATTTTGTTAATTTATATTATTATTTAATTTCTAAAATTGTCTTCATTTGATTTTAATTGTTGTTCTTTTTATGCCCATGACCAAAGGTAAAATCTGACAGTGACAAAATCATGAACTAATACAGCTGCGTGTATTTAAATGTCAGGCAAAATTGTGTATATTAGCCCTTTATTTGGACTGAGTCATGCACCACTTCTTTCATTGGCCTTTTGTGGAGCATGGTATACATAATATTGACTCCGGATGTTACATTTGGAGTGTTCAGTTGAGACTGAATAGCGGAAAAAGGTTGGTTAGGTAGAGAGAGTTAGCTGTATAATCATAAAACTTATCTTTTAAAACTATCTGTATGTCGTAAATAGGTAGTGTATAAAAACAGTTCTTTTATCCAGAGTGATTATTTGCTTTAGCAGGAAAAAAAGAACATCTGTTTAATGACATTACTTTGACGTGCCAGGTGGGAGGGGTGTTAGGAGAGATGGGTGAAAAGGTGAAGATTAAGAAGTACGGATTGTTTTACAGAGTAATCACGGGGATGTAAAGTGCAGCATAGGGAACATAGTCAGTAATACTCTAATAACTGTGTATTGTGTCAGATGGGTACGAGACCTAGCGGGATGATCACTTAGTAAGTGAGGTAATGTCTGATCACTGAGGTATACACATAAAACTAATGTAACGTTGTATATAAACTATAATTGAAAAATTAAAAATGATTAAAAATATATATTAGAAATGAATATACGTAGTAGTCATATCAACCAGGACTTCTTTAGTTGAAATTGAAAGAAATTCTGATCCAAACTGCTTTAAGAAGGAAGACCATTCATTTGCTCACATAGCTCACATAGTTTAAACGTCCAGAATTAGAACTGGCTTCACAGAGGCATGGCTGGATAGAGGGTTCAAACGATATTCTTGTCCTCACTTTTGTTCTGTCTTCTGTTGAGTTGGTTTCGGTATCAGGTACCATGTGATAGCAAAATGGCAGTGGCTTTAATCCCCACAATCTTTCTGGTTTCTGTGTGTTAGGAGAAAGTGAGAAGTTTTCAGACGTCTAGGAAAGTTTCATTTTCTCTCATTGGCTCTTCAGGGACTTTGTGGATGCTCTTAAACTAATCACTGTATCTGGAGAGGGCCATGCAATGTGTTCGTTGGCTTCAGCCCGGCTTAGCTCCTGCAGTCGGGAATGGGAAATGGGAGAGAGTGGCACACAAACTACACACACAGAGGATGAAAAGGGTGAATTTTGATTAGGTGAAAGTAGACGGGTACATTCGAGTAGGCCAATATTCACTAAAAGGGCTGCGGATTCAAGGCTTACAATAAATCTAAGGGGATTTGACGAAAATCAAGCACTGGGCCTGTGTGCTATAGAATATGTTCCTTTAAAAAAATTACTCCAAGAATTTAGAAACCTTCAAAGTTGTATGGTATTTGCGGATCTAGAACTAAATTTATCATTCGCTAAGACAGGACCAAAACAGCGAGTTACTAGAGATTTAGATCTAGATTTACCTTCCATACCAGAGTTCTCTAAGGACACTGCATTTTGTCTAGTTCATGGTAGCTGTATTAATACAGAATTCATATTTCTAAATTATATGAGCTAGAAGGGAAGAACATTTGAGCTCTGTACAGAAGGAGGATTAATGTGAAGTAAACTTTCTTGTGAACCATGAAAACTAAGTTACTACTATGACAGACCCGGTATAATTGCATAAGTGATAGCCATGTGTGAATATGTTGGGTCCAGTAGTTAAAAAAACCTTATTGTACTCTGAGAAGAAGTCATATGACATCTGATAGGCATCTGGTATTTCAATTAAATTGAATTATTTGGGCCCAATATCCATCCTTTTTCTACTCAGTTCACTTCACGATTTCAGACTTAACCTTTATACTCATTCTCCTTACCCAACTTTCTCTTACCTGCTGCAGTTTGAAATTAGGCATAGTGGCGGCCAACGTTTCCTGTTCCACATCGTGCATTTAAATTCATTGATTCTGCTGCCAGTGTCAGATCTGCAACTGAAAAGAGAAACTGGTAATTCACGTGGGTCTAGGGCACCATCACAGGGCCCTGATGAATGTCTGGCTGACAATGAAAGGCCAGTTGTCTGGGAAGAACGATTACACAAACAACAACAAATGGGCCACCTGGCTGGGTGGCTCGGTTGGAGCATCGTCCTGTGTACCAAGTGGTTGTGGGTTCTATCCCCGGTCGAGGCACATAGCTAGTTTGTGGGTTTGACCCCCAGTTGGGGCACATACAGGAGGCAACCAATTGATGTTTCTCTCATATTGATGTTTCTCTCTCCCTCCCCTTCCTCTCTCTCTAACATTGATAAACATATCCTCAGCTGAGGACTTTAAAAATTATTAAAACAAAACAAAACAAACCAACAAATACAGATGTCTGGGTAGCTCAGAGTTGTGTGAGTCATTGTGCCATTTGGAAAACAGAGTGATGAGGAAGAAGTGTCAGTTGTGTGCAGCAGGAACAACTGTCATGGAAGTGGATGTTAGCTTCTACATAAGAGTTCTCACTTTTTTCTGGCCTTTAAATGAACTGTAAGAGGGACAAACGTGGTGCCTTTTTTCTTTTCTTTTCTTTCTTCTTCTTCTTCTTTTTTTTTTTTTTAAAAAAAAGGTTGTTTGAGTATGATAGTGAGGAACCAAAATGTTGTCTCAGAGAATTTTAGAATAACCAACCACCTGGGCTTTGTTGTCGTTTTGTTTGATCTTTCAGCGGAGTATAATATACGTACAGAACAGTGCTTAATCTAAAGTACACAAGGCAATGAGTTTTTACAATGAATGCGTCTGTGTACCAGCAACCAGATCAAGACACAGAGTGCTTCCAGAGGCCTCCTCACATCCTTCCACTCATTACTGTCCCCTGTGCCCCAGGGTGACCACTGTGCTGCCTTCTAATAGCATAGATTAATGTTGCCTGTTTTTATACTTTTGTGTCTGGTTTCTTTTGCTCAACATTATTTGTGGGATTCATTCATATTGTTACTAGAATAACAGTTCTCAATCTCCTAGTCAACATTCATTGTAATGTTTTGGTACTTTAAATCATTCACATAGCCATATAATGTAATTTTTAGGGTGAACACAAGCTCGCTGAACTTTAGACAATACTTTAGTCATAGCTATAGAAGACTTTAAAGTTTCAGCCTAATATTAAATATAAATTTTTGAAAGCTCATGTACATCATTTAGGCATTTCCTATGTTTTAGTGGAAGCTTTGTGCCAAATCAAATGTTTTTGTCTGGGCCTAGGCTTTCTAGAGACTGAAGCTTCAAGTGAACTTCCTACCTCCCTTCAGGATGATCAGTGCTTTCCTTTGCCCACAAGTGATAGAACTTGAGCTATTTTAGGTCTCTGTAGAATTTATTGAAAAGCAGCCCCAGAGAGGGAAGGGATGCTTGAATGTCCCAAGGACACAGTTTCTGTTTCTAAGCTGGGCTTTTCTTTGCTTATTGACTTGACTCTGCAGGCTGGATTTACAGTGAGACACATGCCCCCTGCCAGCAGCTCCTCATTTTATAACCTGTAAATTTTATCATAAGAGAGGGACTGACATTATTTTCAGTTATAGTTCAGAAAAATTTCAAGTACCTACCTTTGACCTGCCAACTGTGGTCAGGGCAGGGAATAAGATACTATGACTGGCCTTGCTTGGACCTGTCTGATTAGCTTCTCTTATAAGTTGCAGACCTGCCATTGGCAGCTGGTCAGCTGTTTTGAACCATGCATGTTTTTCTGGAATCACATGCCCAGAAGCAGATGCTGTTCCTAGAAGAGTGTTGCTGGACAGACCAAACATAGACATTTGCACCACCCTGCTTTACACAGCAGGTCCTCAAATAAAGTTCCATTCAACATCATGTCATTGTAACATTGATGAGACAACGTAGGATCTTAACTCTTGTTTATGTCAATTAGCTTACAGTAAAATTGGTTTTATTATATGTTGTTTTGTTAAAAATCGTGGAACTTATCTATGATGTTAAGTGAGGACTTACTGTACTTTGAAGGCTAAGAAATATCATGAAAGATCATTTTATCAAAGCCATTTAGAATTCTGAAACAAACTCCACTGCTTGGTGGCTAGACCATGCAGACAGTCATTATAATTAGCGCCTCTGAAGATATTTGAAGCTGTAATCTGTACCAGTTCTCAACAGTTTCCATTTGGCTCTTTCAAACTCATCATTCCTTCTCATCCCTATTATCTGCAGCTAGATCCAAAAATGTTAGTTACTCTCTTCTGTCGGAGTGATTTTCAATGTTTTGTAAAATAGTAGGAGAGTGTTTTTAAATAAATTTCTAAAAAAACCCACACAGAAAGTAAGAGCTCGTATTTATAGATCCATAAAAAGTAGTAAAAGTATTTCAAAAATACAGACTGAAGAGATGCACACCAAATCCATGATTGTGGCGGCCTCTGGCCGAGGAGACGGGGCCTGCGACTGGAAGTACAACAGAGGGTTCAGCATTATCTGCAATGTTTCATCATTTTATTTCTAAAATATCTGGGGCAAATATGAGAGAATGTTATATATGTGTTTGTATATGCGTGTGTATGATTAAATGTGTTTTCCCCAATTTATAGAATGAATAATACATACAGTAAAAGAATAGTTCCTCAAGAATCAGCCAACCCTGATTACAATACTTCTCTAGAACGTAGGAGGCACATTAGTGTAGCTGTAGAGACTCAGGCCGGGGAGCCAGGCAGCCTGGGCTCTGGTTCAGGTCCTGATTCCATTGCCTGCTCTCCTGAGTGGTTTATTTTAAATTCATGTGCTTCATTTTGTACATTACTACAAAAATTACTTTTTATATTATCAAAATTTCTACCTCAGTTGTTGTGATGTTTAAAATAAATTAACATGTTTACAATAAATTCCCAGACCAGCATCTGGCACATCGTAAGCACTCAATAAATATTAGCTTGTTATTCATGTTATTATTAACAGGAATGACTTCTAATCATGGGTATGTTTTCTTATCTTATATCTTTAAACCTTTTCTTCTTTCAGTTTTATGAGGAAGATATTTTATCATAGGTCTGAAAAAGAAGAATCAGGCTTGATTAAACATCAGTAGCTACCCAGTGGTTGAACTGGAGTAGAACCAAGCTCTCGAACTCCAAAGTCCTCATTCTTAACCTCTACCTTTCATTACCACCGACAGTTCTTATCTTTCTTGAGCAATGTCCAAGGAAATCAGAAAAAAAAATTGTCTAAATAGCTAAATTTAGCTAAATGATCTGATGTAGAATTTTAAATAGTATAGGAAAATATTTGTAGATAAGTAAAGAATAATGTAAAAACAGCACTTTTATATACCATATGTTAAAATGTCTACTCTGCTAGCAGCCATGCTAGGTGCTTAACAGAAACTTCATTACACTAAATTCTTGTACAACCCTGCAAATGAACATTCTTTTTTAGCAATGAGGAATCATTCTCAGAGATATATATTATATAACTGGTACAGGGTCGCACAACCACTAATGGAATTCAAGACCGTGACGGCTACCACGCCATAGCCCACATCCTTATCATCAAGATGAACTAGCTTTCTTCCGTGATCAGTTATTGTTTGTAATTTACTTTTGATGCAAATGTACATACTTATTCCTGGTTTTATTCATTTGGTCATTTTGTTGTTTCCTTCTAGTTTACAAAAATTCAAGATAAACATATAAAACATTACTTGGGGGTGACTTTGTGCAGCTAAGCAATGTAAACCAATTTTGTAATAATATAAAGTATAAATCTTAGATTTTTTTTTCCAACTTGTTCCTTTCCAAGGAGGAAAAAGTCCCTCTGGCTAGCTGATTAAACTGTGGTAAACATAAAAGCTGAAATTTAAAAATTCTTTGTTTTGGCTTGGTAGACTTTACCTATATTTAATAGTAAAATTGTTACTGTTTTGTTTCTTGTAGAATATGCTGGTACAGGGGACTGAGTTTATTAGAAGTGAGGATTTTTAGGGCCGTTTCCTGAAGCAAAATGCACCAGATGTGTGATTAGTCACCATTGTGCTTTTCTCAGTGTAGGATTCAGATTTTCCATATTTGAGTGGATCTAAAAAACATTGTCATGGTGCATTACTTTTTGTAGTTCATCACTTTTAGTAGTTCTTATTATTATAGTTAAAACGATATATATGTATATATGATTTACAGATGCCAATAACCTCTCAGTGTATTACCCATGATCTATCGTCATGAGTACATGTCACCGAGCACCCCAGGTGGTGTGATGGAATGTGATCAAGTCTTCCTCTTTCACCAGGTGATCAGACTCTGAGAATTTGGGACGTGAAGGCAGCAGGAGTCAGAATTGTGGTTCCTGCACATCAGGCAGAAATTTTGAGTTGTGACTGGTGTAAATACGATGAGGTACCCTGTCTGGCCCTGTCCTGATTTGCCAAGCCCTTCCTAATGCTGAAATGTTCTAGATTTTATTTTATCTTTATTTATGTGGACTTTATTAGTGTTTATGGACCATTAAGTTAAAATCAGTCCCTCTCATTTCTAATTGATGACTGTGAGTGACCTGCAATAGCATTAAACAGATTTAAGTGCACATAAAACAGGCAGAATAAGGAACAGAAATTCTCAAAGTTCAACAGTGCATCCTTACTGGTTTTTTTGGGAAACTGCTTTACAATTTATGCGGTATTTTTTTTCTCTATTGTTCTTAACCCTGCCAATTTGTGTCATCTTTTGCTTTCCATTCTTATTTACTTTGGTAAGCAGGCTGCTGAACTATTTGTAGACTGATTTTTAATTTAACAGTCCATCAATTCTTTGTATTTTCTGTTTATTTTCCCTATATGCCTAACCCAACTTCATTCTTCTTCTGAAGAGGGGACAGTGTCTATTTGTAGCTTTTTACAAAGCTTCATTTAACTACAGAAACTTATGAGTTAGAAATGTCAACGTATCAAATATGTGCTGGTATTTATCAATACATACATGCACACACACACACACATAAATATCTGAAGTGGTCTGTTGACTGTGATGAAGAGATAAAACTTAAGCCTTACTTTTTCCCCAGTTTTAAATTAATAAATGAAAACTAGGAGAACATTATATTGGCAGAGTTTTTTAAATAAAAAGAAATAAAATAGATTAAAAGAAAATACAGTACCTATTCAATAGCAATACTTGATCAAAATAAAAAATGTCAGTGCTGATAACTACAGTTCAATCTCTTGCATCATAATGAATTTTTCATATAGGAAAATGAAATTGTGAACTATATATTTGGAAATTCTAAAAAAAGATGCCAATGTACACTTGAGAGTGGTTTAAAATTTTTTTTGGAATCACTGAAACTTATCATTAAGTGAGCTTATACTGAAGCCCAACACATTCAGACAATGAATTATCACTCTGGGTAATGTGGGATGGGGCTGAGTGTGAACCCAACTGGGCCTATTCATCCAGGAACTCTGAACTCACTGGGGTCTGTGGACAGCAAAAGTCGTAAAACCCAACAGGAGGAGGCTTACCATTATTTGCATAGATTTTCAGATATGATTAGATACTACATTGAGACATGCCTGTAAGAATTAGGAATAATGATTGATTTAGATTTAGAAAAATATATAAAGATTTAATTTATACCCTTTGCTCTTTCAAATATTTATAAATTGGCAGGCCTTTTGCCTTTTAATGCCTGAAGAGAAAGGCTGGCTCATTTGTCAGATATAGTTTTTAATCCATTATGTACTTATTAATACTACTACTGAAGGTGGATTGGAAGGGAACTATGCCTTTTTCCATTGTGTGTAGTATTCCATCACATACATAAAGCATATGCAATTCCTTTTCTCTCAAGTCGTACTGACTTTTGCTTTTATGATCTATAGTTTGATTCCTTTCTATTTTTGTAATGTAACTTCTCAAGAATGATTCCTGGATTCTAATTAAATAATTATCAGGAAATAGTTACTGTTTCTAGTAGGAAGCCTGGACACTACTTACTTGAAAAGATGTCATGGTTAACTTATCTCTGCATTGTTTTCAGAATTTGCTGGTGACTGGAGCAGTTGATTGTAGTTTGAGAGGCTGGGACTTAAGGAATGTTCGACAACCAGTGTTTGAACTTCTTGGCCATACGTATGCTATCAGGAGAGTGAAGGTAAATTTTTATCTTTTCTTTTTATACGTAGAATAAAGTATAATCAAAATATAAATATAATCTATATATATAAAGGTGTTTATGGGTTTGGGTTATTGATTCTTTTTTGTGCATGCTTTTGTTACCCAATTAATGATAATGAACATTGAAAGCTAAAATTAGGTAAAATATATGAGTAATTATTGAATGAATTGGGACAAAGGAGCCAATTTGTACTTAGAATTAAATAAAAATGTTTTATTATTCTATTATCCCCAATCTAATATTCCTTTTAACTTTTTTAACTATAATAATTACTTTTAGTATTATATTCTTCATAATTTTCCATTTGCAGGAAGGTCTCTTTACATTGTTTTAACTCATATAAAGAAATGGTTAATTTTTTCTTTTCCCTAACATGATAATAAATATAAATTTCACAAACATTTGGGGTATAGAAAATTTTCCACTCTGTAAACAGCAGAGGATGAGATAACTTTTTTTGGCTGCTCCTAAGAAATTTGCCTGCTTATCAGAGCCGTAATCTAGTTTTCCTGCTTGTATTTAGGTAGGTTTTGCTAAGTCACTGTGGAAAACATCTTACTAAGTCACATCTCTGAATTTCCGTCTTCATTTTTTTATGTCAATATGGAAAAGTACCTTTTGATTTTTTCAATAAGATGTTATTTCTATTTCAAAACTTTTTAATTTCAATTAAATTAATATTTAAAATTGTATTGCCTTCAACTTAACATGAGACATTGTGCTCTGCTTTTTTTTTTTTAATGGCACACAGGTTTTAGTGGTTGAACATATTTTCTATTTTTTTCACAGTGCTTCTGAGAATGAAATAGGGTAATGTGAAAGTATTTTGCAAGCTGGAAACTTTGCAAATGTAGTTATTATGTGTATGTAACTAATAAAGTACTGGTAAGAAAAACACAACAGAAATGTAATTGCAAAGGGAAGCTTATGAAAATATGTTATTTATTACTTATGTAAAAGATACAGTCTTTAAATTTTCAGATTTTTGTCCTTCATATTATTTGTCATTAGCTAAGATAAATATATTTTACTTAACATTTAAATGTTTATTCGATACTTGTGCTTATAGCCATCATAATGTATATTAATGAAATTGGTGAGGTATAATAAGTTTATATTTTTACCACCAGATACTTAAATTCCCTATATTTCTAGGAGTCATTTTTAGATGGCCAACATGAAATTGTATTTAATTTTTCCAAAATACTTTGGGAGTATTTTATTATAAATAAGCTCTAAAAAAGCTTGAGCAATGACTTTGGAGAATGTAAAAACATAAATGCTTTGCCTTGAAGTACATAAGGTTCAGGAACGCATAATTTTAAGCGACAGCCCTGACCAGACTTGAATTTATTATAATGTGTTGGGAATGACCATGTGAAGTGACACGTTATAATTATTGTTGACTTCAAAAAATTTTTTGTTTTGTTTTGCAGTTTTCACCATTTCATGCTTCTGTACTGGCCTCTTGCTCCTATGACTTTACTGTAAGGTACAGTAGTTTTTTATTAAGTTTCATTGTGAAATACCAAGTAGCATTTGCATCATTGCAATTTTTAGGGAAGCTGATGTATTTATCTTACTGATATGAAAAAATGTGAGCTGGACACATTTGAAAATTTGCCACTGGTTTGTGTGAGTTCTTAATGGTATTTATTTTAATTCCTATTGATTGCATATATAGCCAATGCACTTACTTTCCTTTTTTCTGCTCTCCCTGCTCCATCAAATTTTGAGTTGTTTTATTTATATTTTGTTAGAACATATAACATACAGCACTCTCATGTGATGTATTATTTTTCTACTCTTATTTCTACCTTTGTTTTGCTTTTAGATATGTAAGTAAATATCTTAAATGCTCATCATCAATTTTTTTCCTGAAATTTTCCCATTATCTCTCGGTTTGGTGAAGTTTTTCTTCTAGTAGATTCCCTAAGACAGGCTGATGATTAAGCCTGTGCATGTTTAAAACTGTTTCTCTGTATCCTCACTACTTGAAGGGATAGCCTAACTGAATATAAACTTCTAAATTTATATTTTTTTTTCTGTAGTGTTTTGAAAATGCTACCTCATTTTTGCCTTGTTTTATACGGTTTTTGAGAATTTTGATGACAGTTAATGCTCTTAAGTTACCAAATAACTTAATGTAAGTTATTTGAACCTTTTTTCTGGGGACTCTGTTACAGTGCCATTTGCATACTACAGGTCAGAGAGTTCAGTGGGTTCTTTCATTTCCAGAAAGCTTTTTAGGATTATAATTTGAAATATGAGTTCTCTTACATTATTTTCTCTTTTGCAGACTCTAATTTTACATAAATTGAATCTCTTTTACCTGTCTTCTATATCAAGTGCTTTCTCTCTGTTTCACTTTTTTATCTCATTTTCATTCTTTTGTTTTTCTGCTGTCTTTTTTTTTCATGTAAATGTATTCTTCGGGCACTATGTAATTTTGTCTTCATTTCTAGTATGATTTTGCCTTTTTCTTCTATTCCTTTCTTGTCTTCATTCAGTTATATTTCACTTTCTGTTGTGTTTCTACTTCTTTTCTTTGCTTTTGAATTTCCAATTGTAAGGGGAAAACTCTATTTTTGTCCTCCACTGCCAGTATTTCTGAGACCAAGTGTATGTGGAGATTTCCCATACCAAGCAATTCTCCAGTTTTTGGCAGACTTCAACTGGATATCCTACGAATTCAACTCATTTTGGATATCTACCTGGAGATAACATCAGATCCTACAGGTTAAGGGCTCAGTTCCACAAGACTGCCCCACTTCAGATGCCAATGGCAGGTTCATGTTGTCTCTTGTACTTCTGACCTACCAATTGTATTCTTCTGTTCACTTCAGTTTCACCTAAACTACCCTCAATGTCCTCAGAGGCTTGCCGCTGGAACATGGGAGATAGCTTATTGGCATTCTGTTTTTCTTTTTCTTTTTACATGTAATTAGAAGTTTGGATATGTCGAAGGCCTGAGTTTTATAGAGTTTTAATTTTTCTTTTTGTTGACCTCATTGCCTCAACTACCCAGAATTCCTTCTCCTTTACTTCTGAGTCAGTATTTGATATGGGAGAAGCTATATAACTTTGTTTGTGTAGACTACTAATAGAATAAACTACAATGCCTTGAGAGAAATTACATGCCCTAACTTTTTTCTTTTTTTCGACTGATCTAATAGAAGCAGGGAGAGAAACCAGTAAATAATCACAATGAGACTTCCAGCTCTCAATTAAAGTGATACCATAACCAGCTTTTATTTTTTTATTACTCTATATAAAATAGGAAAGAGTGATTATAGAATTTTTAGCATGGGAGTCAAAGAATGGTAATATGGCAGAAAAGAAAAAACGTCAACAGCAGTTCTCCACCCCAAGTATTTCCATACTGAAACTTTGAAGCTAAATCATTGGCAAGAGGTTAGAGCTATAAATGTGGATTTGAAAGACATTAAATTGCTGATAATTCGTTCTGTAAAAGTGAATATGTCATCAGTAGAAATTAGGCTTTTCCATGGGATTTTGAGGAAAGCATTCCAAGCACCTATGGGGGACTCAGCTCGCGAAGTCCCCCAATTCGCTGAGGATGCAAGAAAGAGTCGCTCTAGACACTGTTTGCCTGTCAAGAAAAGGGGAAGGCAGTTCCCTCTCAAGGAGAATGCCTCAAGCCCCTGTGCTCAACGGCTTTTATTAAGAGGGTTACAAGCCGGGGATAGGTAACAGGAATGTACAGGGAATCTAATTACATCAGTAACTTAAGTTTACAGAGAATAGGCGATGTTTAAAGAAGACAATGGCAGGAATACACCGCATTGCTTGGGTCCGAGATGAGTAAACATTATGGTACCAGATAGGATTTGGGTCAGGGTCCAGGAATTTTGTAAATTTCCTTCCCAGCCTTGAGCTGGTTACCTGGTATAAGATCAACAGGGCTTGAGGGAGAAACAAAGCGTGCTTCAAGGAGTGTAATTTACTTCCAGGCCTGATTTCCCCCAGGGGCCCTCGGAGTTATTACTGGGTCCTGACTATCAATTGCATTACCAGTGTTCTGGCCAAGTCTTGTGGGTCCTCTCCCAGGCCCCAGCTTGCCCGGGACTACAGTCCCCAATACCTCTCAAAGTGGCCCCCTATAAGGACCCACACATGGGAAGCTGTGGTGTGACAAGGTGGTTTATTCAAGTGGAAATAGAAGCTGCCCCCTGGGTTTTCAGCGTCCCATCTCCCCCCATTCCACCATGCAAAAAGTCCAACCATGTCTTCAGCAAGGCCAAAACAAAAGCCGGTGTGCAGAGTTTCTGTTTCATAATAAAGCTTAGTTCTTTTGGAGCTCATGCAGTCTGCCACGGGCCCCAGCAGCTGCTAGACCCACATGGTCACGTTTATATTAGCTTAGACTTGTAATGGACCGGGTGCTTTTTCAAAAGAACCAATCAACTTCCCAAGCTTTCACAGGTTTTGGTAGGTTTATACCTGCTAGTCAGCCTGACAGGCTATAAGGCACAGCACCTCCCTCTGTACCCTCCAACAATCCAGGACCAGAGTGGGGAAGAGAGGGGTGTTAATCCCCTTTGCAGAGAAATGGGGTGTGAAGCTGTAGCTTTATGGTGAAGGAAACAGGTTTGTGCTCCCCAGTTTATTAAGCTTGATGTCTAATTCCCTTTGCTCTCTTTCCTTTATTAACATCTGTCTAACTATCTATGGCAACAAATAAATCAAAGGGACATAAGTTTAGGGAAAAAGCAAAAAGACTATCTTTTTGAGGAAAGAATTAACATTGGATGGGAGAATGGAACAGCCTACCTAAAATAGGAGGAGACCCCAGAGCATTCAGTGTGTCACAGAAACTGGAGGAAAGGATTTCAACCACATGCAGATGGCTAGTGTCAGATCTTCCACGTAGCAGTTCCTCCAGATAGGCTGCGTAGAATGAAGAGGGAACTTCGTGGGTTTTTAAAATTTTTTATTTTAACATTATATTTTTTAAATTTATGAATCACGTTTATTCTATTACAGTTGTCTCAATTTTCCCCCCTTTATTCCCCTCCACCCATCCCACCCCCACCCCCTGCTCAGTCAGTCCCCACTCTGTTGTCCACGTCCGTGGGTCATTCATACATGTTCTTTGTCTAGTTCCTTCCCCTTCTTTCCACCATTGTCCTATGAAGAGGGAACTTTGTATCACCTCTTTACAAAGTGTCACTGCGGGCTCAAAAGGGATTTCGGATATAGAATCTAGTCCTTGGATTTCACAGACCTTCTGGTGATCATGAGAGACTTGTCCAACTGAGATGGGTCACTGATCTTTTGTTGATCTTATTTTTAGTATCCTTAACAGTTTTAATTGAGTATTTCTGATTTTTGGAGCCCATTGATCAAGGGACATCTTAAATCCATTTCACTGTTGTTTTTTTTTTACTGATTAAAGGGGGAGATCTAGTGACAATCTGTATTTTCTTTTCAGAATTGTCATTATTTTCTTAACCCTAATGACCACTCCCTGTTTTATCTGTACACTTTAGTATCCCTCAACACTGAGTTAGGAAATGCCATACCTTTGTAAATGTAGATTTGTCTCAGGAAAATTTGTCTCAGAAGACTGGACTTCTGAATCTGGACTACACTACTCTAAAATCTTATAGGTACCTAACTATGTTCACAAATTATCACAATTTATGGCTCACAGTCTTATTTTTTTCTCCACTTTTAAGTATTTGCCTTTGCTTCTGTCCTGACTTTTGAGAGGACTGCAGACAGGGAAGAGATGTGTAATGCTTCTGAGAAGAGAAATGGCTTAGGTCATGGTTCTGTGGTTCCTTGGCATGCTACAAGATGAAAGTGTTATAGCTGTGTTTATAAACATTTGGAAAAACAAATTATAACTAAATAGTAAGAGATTAATATATAGTTGAAAAAGACATTCTAATAAGCAATTTTAATGTATAGTTTAGAGTCCAGGTTTTTTAATATGTAAAACATAATTAGTAATATCTGTCCTCATAAGCTCATAAAGTGATTATAAAATTATAAGATTATGTAAGAGGACATACTTTAAAGTACAGTGCTAATTTTTCACTGTTCCCAACCTTTGCTTCTATTCTCAACCCTATTTCCTACACTTTCAGTAAAAGACCTTATTTTTCTCTTAAAAAACAATTGTAGGGCTCAAGCTCAAATTACCTCAATTTCTGTCCTAGGCCTGAAAATTTATCTAAACCTTTACCGCTGTATCTGTATCCATTTCTCCTTTGCTACCCTTGGACATGGATGTTCTTCATCCCATTCACTTCTGTTTCCTTTACTCTGTGGAATTACCTCTTCTTCCTCCTCTGTCATCAGTCTCCAAGTCTCTCTTGGCTTTCGGCCTGTAATTTTTTTTCTTTTTCCTGTATTTTCCTTTAACTGCTCTCTTACATATTTCTTTCCTCCCTAGCCAAGCTTTTAGTGTCCCTTACACTTCCATTCACCAGGGCCATTTTAAGGCCATCACAGTCCCAGGAT